TAAATAATGACTTCCAATTTAAATCTATTTTCTTTTTTGTACATGTCTTTGTTTATATATATATATATATATATATATATATATATATATAGCTGGAGGGAGAAGAAGAGGATTCAAAACTTTCCCAAAGGTATTAGCACGTAAGTGAATGTAATGGATTCGACTGGAATTCGAACTCGGCTCTGCGATTCCTTAATCCAAGCCGCTATCCATTACTCTACCGTGCCTCCTCTATGGGTAAATAGCAGGACAGACTTGGATGGCAACTTATCTAGGAGAAGGATAACTCTGAATTCAAAAACCTGCGGAGGGTCGTTTGGGGACCTTGTGGCACTTAGTGCACCAGGTCTCTGTAATCGGCCCTCCAAAAAGTGTGGATGGATGGTCCTGCACGAAACCTTCACCACTATAATCAAATCTCATGTGCTGTTGTTGGGTTGTCGGTTTCCTGGGAAATAATCTGTTTGACCCTCGAACTCGATGGGAGAGTCGACTATATATATATATATATATATATATATATATATATATATATATATATATATATATATATATATATATATATATATATAGTATTTACATTAGACGGATTAATGTCCTCATCTTTGTCGCCATATTTGTCACAATGTTTCGGCCGTTGTACGCTCCGGCCTTCTTCAGGTGGTTGGAATTTCGAACTGAACCCTTTATTTCGATCACTGGGGTAGACTGTTCTAGTTCCACGTGCCATGTTTGATAGATGTCAGTTATCAGTTATCTCCTGCTAATTTTCCCTCTGAAAGTTCTCCACTGCCTTAACCAGGTATTGAACTCACCTTCGTCTGTCACTGTATATATTTGATGGTGAATATCTTTGTTGAAATGTCCATATAACCACTCTGAAGATGGCTCATGTGAGCTGAAAGCTTAGATCAAGGAACATTTAAACATTTAGGACACTTTCGCCAAAACTTTCAAAAGGTAATCGTTGCCGACACAAGAAACAACCGTACACATATTAATAAATTACAAATGAGGAGGGAATTGGAATACGTATTGGAAAACGATTAAAATAGATTTAATTTTTCCATCTTACATAATGCTCACTCTGTTCCCCATCTCCGAGTCCTTAAGGCTGTTTGCATTAAGTTTCCTCAGCCGACCTTTCGTAAGCAAAAGATACATTTTATTCGTTCCTTATGTTTGACCGACGGATTAGGAGTGACTATATTTTCCATTTTTATACTTTTTGGGAACCTTGAAAATTTTTTTTTGTTGTTAATTTATTTACAATTAAAATTTATATATTAATATATGGTGAAATAATTTATTACATGAAACCTTAAAGTGATCTGTTTTATTTAAATTATTTGCTCTGGATTTACATTGAGCTCTCTGGATTTTATCCTCCTTGGGTCTACCCAGACGGATTACCTAGTTTTTCATAAACTATATATATATATATATATATATATATATATATATATATTATATATATATTATAATTATTCTATTATTATTACTATTATTATTATGAACATTGAATGTGTATATATATATATACACACACAGTCACACACACACACACACATATATATATATATATATATATATATATATATATATATATATATATATAATATATGCAGTGGAAAGTCAAGTCAACACCCAGAGACTGAAATCTGTTTCAGGCTTAAACCTAATCATTATGGTCTGACGATTGCTTTTATAATGAAAAGTCTGTCGTCTATAGGTGTTCAATGTCCACTTTGATATTTACATACGCCCTATTGCTGCTATTGAGCACGTTAACCCATGAAGATAACATCACTTAAACTATATGTTCTTCATATATATATATATATATATATATATATATATATATATATATATATATATATATATATATATAAATATATATAGTAATATTTACAATAGAAAAAAAGAAAAATATATTTTTAAATAATATATATGTATGTGTGTGTTTGTGTGTGTGTGCAACATCTTTCAAAATACTGTATATACGAGCGTAAAAGATAGAAGATAGAAGTCAGAGAAGCATATATCTGGAGAAGTAATCTATCGATCGATTTCAGCCTGTCCATTATCTATCTATCTATCTATCTATCTATCTATCTATCTATCTATCTATCTCTCTCTCTCTCTCTCTATATATATATATATATATATATATATATATATATATATATATATACTGTATCTCAGACTGTTCAATCTATCTCAGCTTATTCATTATCTATCTATCTATATATTTAAACCTGTTCATTATCTATCTATCTATCTATCTATCTATCTATCTATCTATCTATCTAAGCCTTTTCATTATCTCTCTCTCTCTCTCTCTATATATATATATTTATCTATCTCAGCTTATTCATTATCTATCTATCTATCTATCTATCTATCTATATATATATATATATATATATATATATATATATATATATATTAATCTTTTCATTATCTATCTATCTATCTATCTATCTCAGCCTGTTCATTA